AGCCCAGACCTGTGGCCTTTGCCAGATTCCTTTCCTGCACAACCCTCCCACACCAAACAAGTCACGAGGGGATGTAATTAGTGCTTCCCACGTGACTCTCAAATCCACTCTCAAATCCATCCTTTCTCATCATCTCTTCAATTGTCTTAGTAAAAAACTACGTAATTTTATATTATATTAATATAGTGACTTTCTTGTGTGTGTATTTATTCACTTTTTTTTAAAAACTGTAGAGATGAGTTCTCTCTGTTGCCCAGGCTGGGCTTGAACTCCTGACCTCAAGAGATCCCCCTGCCTCGGCCTCCCAAAGTGGTAGGATTACAGGTGTTATGCGTATTCATTTTTGAACGATTATGAATGTAGGTGTAGTATGTGTTATGGATGTCAGATGTGGATGTTTGAGTTCATGGAATCTTGTGATGAATTACCAAAGTTAGTTACCATCTTGCCTCTTATAGTTTTCCGTATTGTGTAGTGTGCGACTAAGTAAGAATCTTAATACGACCCCATTTTGTTGACCCCATAAAATATGCGGGGGAAAAAAAAAGATCTACTATCCCAGCAATTTCAACTGCATAATACATTATTATTAACCATCGTTACCATGTTGTTTAGTAAACCTCTAGAATTTATTTACCTTACAACTGAAATTTATAACTGTTGATGAAAATCCACCCCATTTCTCCTTCCCCTAAGCCCCTGGCGACCACCATGCTGTTTCTATGACTTGGACACCTTTAGATTTCACATATGTTTAATAAGTTAGAGGCATTTTGATATGGATTAAGAACAAAAATCTAGGCCGGGCGAGGTGGCTCACGCCTGTAATCCTAGCACTCTGGGAGGCCAAGGCCGGCGAGTTGCTCAGGTCAGGAGTTTGACCAGCCTGGGAAGAGTAGACCCCGTCTATACTAGAAATGAAAAGAAATTAATTGGCCAACTAATATATATAGAAAAAATTAGCCGGGCATAGTGGCGCATGCCTATAGTCCCAGCTACTCGGGATGCTGAGGCAGCAGGATTGCTTGAGCCCAGGAGTTTGAGGTTGCTGTGAGCTAGGCTGACGCCACGGCACTCATTCTACCCTGGGCAACAAAGTGAGACTCTTTCTCAAAAAAAAAAAAAAAAAGAACAAAAATCTAGGCCAGGAAAGATGTCTCATGCTTGTAATCCTAACATTCTGGGAAGCTGAGGTGGGAGGATTGCTTGAGGTCAGGAGTTTGAGACCAGCCTGAGCAAGAGCAAGATCCCGTCTCTACTAAAATAGAAGAATTAGCCGGGCATGGTGGCGCATGCCTGTAGTCCCAGCTACTCAAGAGGCTGAGGCAGAAGGATTGCTTGAGCCCAGGAGTTTGAGGTTGCTGTGAGCTAGGCTGACGCCACAGCACTCTAGCCCAGGCAAGAGTGAGAGAAAAAAACAACAAACTAGTCCTCAGGGTCACACAAATAGGGTACAAGTTGGATGACAAAGGTTCAGTGGAAGTTATAAAGAGTTATATATGGAAAAGGCCTTTCACACACACTCTTCCCTTCCAGTCTTTCTCCGGGACACCTTTTCTTCTATATGCTCTTCCCTTTTCTTCTGTTTCTGGTGTGGGAGGCCCAGGCCCTGGTATGACCCCGGGGAGCAGGGGCACCATAGCCGCCAGCTGGAAGGAAAATGCACGCAGTGGGAAGCCTAGATGGCCGCTGCTCCAAGACTGAAGGTGAGGGGAAGGTATTTTGATTCTCTTTCCCTCCCTCCTCTTGAAATCAGCAGGGTCACACCAGAGTGTGAGCCTTGGTAAAGGGGCTGCCCTAGATTAGGTAGAAGAGTTTTAGGACTAACATAGTCCAGACCACTTTCTTTATCGGGTTTATTTCTGAACATTATTTTTGGGGATGGGTCAGAAATAAAATGCCACTGCGTAATGAGATTTGTTTTCTTTGTCCACAAGCTATTGCCTAAATTGTTTAAATCTGTCTGCCCTAAGTTTGATGTAGATGAAGCAACTTTCTTTTTATAGTGCAGCAGCTTGCATTTGGCATGAATAATAAGTTTTAAGTGTGAGAGCGTGATTGTCTTTTAATGTTATAATTTGAAGAATTGGTAACTTTCTGGCAAACAAGATTTTAAAAGTCTGTGCACGATGGGGCTTGTTCTCTTGTTCTCTTGCTGATATTGGAAACTTCCTGGCACCAGGCACATAAACCAGGCTAACCCGCTAGAAGGTGACACACGGAGCGGTGAGAGACCCTGGTCACCCCTGCCATCCCATGTCAGGTATCGTAAACCCACCAGCTCCAGCCAACCTGCCAGCTCACCGCAGACACACGAGTGAGCCCCACTGAGATGGATCCGATCCAGCCCAAACCAGAATTACCCCATGGAGTTCACCCCAAATTACTGACCTTCAAAATTGTGAACTAAATGAATGGCTGTTAGTTTTAAGTTGTAAGGTAATTAGTTACACAGCAAAAGCTAACTGACACCCTGTCCTTATTCCAAACCTAGACATCATGTTCAAAGAATGTCCCCAATGCAATTCCCTAGTAAGGAGAGTTAGGGCAGTTCGAGTTGTTGATTCCTATGCCTTATCTTTTATAAAAGCAGTATGCATTGATTCATCCCAACAGCATATGTGCCACGTTTCCTAGTTCTGCCGCTTTCTCTAACATTTCCAGTGCTGCCTTGATATTCTAGAGCCTCACAGGGTCCCACAGGCCTAACCAAAAGTTCCCCTATTCTCGTGCACACGCTTCCCGCTCAGCAGGTGCACTCCACCTGCTCCTCCAGCTAACGGGTTTCGCTTCCCTGACAGCCCACAAAATTCTTCAAACAAGCCATCCCACCCCCCCTCGGGGGGCAGCAGTCGCCTGGCCGTCTTGGCACGACAGACCCTGCCTCCCCCGCCTCGCCTTGTTCCTTCTGTTCCCAAGCTCAGCCTCTGCCTGACCCCGCACCGCGTGCGCTGCCCTCCCCACCCCCACCCAGGCCGTGCGGACGTGTGACTATAGTGCTGGCCGCCTCATCTGTCCCGCGTCTGGCATTGTGAATTTGGCCATCCCCATCACCCTGGGTGGGACTCCCTCCCTCAGCAACCAGGTGAGGAGGAGGTGAGCAACACGGCTGCCCATGCTTGTCTACATCTGTCCCGTGCAGCTGTAGCTTTTGCCGTGCTCTCTGGTCACACTCAAAGTATTCTGCCGGGACGGCTGTACCTTGACCTGGACCTGAGGCAGCTCTGCTTTTACGTGGAAAAATGATTTGTCGTTCTTTCTGCTTTTTTGATTTGTTTCATTTTAAATTATTTTTCTCATTTTTGCCTTTGCTCCTGTCTTCTTAGCACTGCATGTTCAAGGATTATCCTCGTACTCCACATCCCAGTACAAGACAGGAATGAGAGGGGAGAAGCCCCGGGCGGGCAGGGCAGAGGGATGTGGGGGGGCTGTGCAGGGGAGGCAGACAAGAGGCCAAACAGGACTTGGAGTAGTTTCAGCAGGTGCACGGCTTAGAAAGGATCTCAGTGGTTTGGATGCTAAAACGTCTCAACGTACGGCTGCTAACTCAACACTGATTTTTCCCACTCTTGCCTCTGCCATTGTTAAATCTCAGTTAAACTCTGGGGAAGACTCCAGGATACCTAGGCTATTTGTTTCTGTGTCTATTTCACCATTACCTGTAACCATCCTGCAACTCAAGCATCTCTGTTTCATTGGCAGAGGCTATGTGGATTTCCTCTATTTTAGATTACTCATCTGAGAACATATTGCCGCCAATGACTTAGCAGAAGGCGAGGTCCACACTGGGGAGACTGCGTGTGAGGAAGAATCCCTGAACTCCTGACGTGCAAGAGCCCCGCCTTCGAGATCATACAACCCCATACTCCTCCTTCTTGTGCCTTAGAACACTCTTCTCTTCAGCAGAGAAGACTATATGATATTACTGACCTCAGCCCAAACCTGGCCCTGACTCAAAAGGAGTGTTTTAACAACCTGGGCAGATAGAATTCAAGAATCTTCCATTCAGCAGTGACTTTTCCACTCTGTGTCTAAGGGTGCAGTTGTTTTTCGTCTCAATCCTGACTGCAATAAGACTTTTGCTCATCCTCCTGGGCTGAGGTAGTTTGAAATCTTCATACGTGATATATGAGTACATGAATGAAACTTTACATAAAATTTACTAAAAAGAAAAATAATTCATTAGGGAGCACAAAATTTATTTAAAGCCTAACTGATTTCCTTGGGACGTATAAAAATCTATCTTGCATGTCTGACTGCACCAAAATCCAATAGAAAAACTTTTCATGTGTAAAACTGAACAAGTAATGAGACTTGGCTGGGTGCGGTGGCTCATGCCTGTAATCCTAGCACTCTGGGAGGCCAAGGGAGGAGGATCGCTCAAGGTCAGGAGTTCGAAACCAGCCTGAGCAAGAGCGAGACCTTGTCTCTACTAAAAATAGAAAGAAATTAATTGATCAACTAAAAATATATAGAAAAAATTAGCCAGGTATGGTGGCACATGCCTATAGTCCCAGCTACTCAGGAGGCTGAGGCAGAAGTATTGCTTGAGCCCAGGAGTTTGAGGGTGCTGTGAACTAGGCTGACACCATGGCACTCTAGCCCGGGCAACAGAGTGAGACTCTGTTTCAAAAAAAAAAAAAAAAAGTAACCAGACTTGTACCCCTGAACCGCTTTTCATGTTTTTCTCTATTTCCTCTTTTGTGTTTCCTCATTTCTGAAGATAATATATACTTCAAGCTAGAAGCTTTAGGTCACTGCAGAAAGTCTTCTGAGTCACATCTCTTCCTTTGCAAGAGTAGACGCAGAAGGATCTACGAACTTGGCCTGTTTGAATGAAGCCAGACCCCCAGGGAAACATCTTCCGGGAGAGCTCCTGGGACTCCTGGTCAGAGGAAGCCAAAAGGGGGTGTGTGCACACACAATGGCGCCAGAAGGACCTCCGCAAGACAGAGGTGAGCACTCGTCCGTCTTCTCAGGTATAGAGAAGGTAATAGGAGCGCGAGGAAATGGGAAAACAGGCACTGAGGTGATAAGAATGACTTTGGGAGAAGAAGGAGACAACTTTTCATCAAAGAATAGTGAATCCAGAGAAAGATGAAAGGAGAAAACAAAACCAGAAACAATTCAGCCCTAGAAGCCTTTAATAGAATATAAATTTAGTGCTCACTTCAGCAGCACATATACTAAAATTGGAACGATACAGAGATTCATGGCCCCTGTTTTTTAATGTAAAAAAAAAAAGAATATGAATTTAACTATACAAAAAGGTGAGAAATTGAAGACAAAATGATATTGGACAGGCCAGGTTTAGTGGCTCACATCTGTAATCGTAGCACTCTGGGAGGCCAAGGCAGGAGGATCTTTTGAGGCCAGGAGTTCGAGACCAGCCTGGGCAATAGCAAGACCCCGTCTCTACAAAAAAGAGAAGAATTAGCCAGGTGTGGTGGTACATATCTGTAATTCCAGCTACTCTGGAGGCTGAGGCAGGAGGATCACTTGAGCCCAGGAGTTTGAGGTTGCAGTGAGCTATGATGACACCACTGCACTCAAGCCCCAGCAGCAAATAAGACCCTGTTTCTAAAAACAATAATACAATTTGATATTGGAAAAAGGCGAGGAATCATGGGAAGGATGTAAGTGATATTCCAGGGGAAAGAGAGTTGGGAATTGGAAGGTGCAGTTTACTCTGGACGAGTTTCGCCTGGATTTGTCTTGGGCTCCAGGGTATTATCTGGTCGTTTGTTCTGAGGAATGTCTATGATCTCTTTTTGCTTTCGCATTTTTTTCTGTTTTAGTTTTGTCCATAGCCTGACTTTATAGTTATTTTAAATTTTTATTTATTTATCTGTTTTCTTTTCCTATATCACAAGATACCAAGTACACTTTCCTGTTCTAAGGTGTTTGGGCTTCTGGTTTCCCAGCGCCCTGGCAGTGGAGATTGTAACTGTGCATTTGTCTTGCTGATCTGACAGAGAAAGAGGTCTGGTGGCTCCAGGTGAAGGTCTGGTCTATGGCTGTGATATCCATCTCTCTCCTCAGCGCCTGTTTCGTTGTGAGCTCTGTGGGTAAGTTCTTGGCTAAAATGCAGTGATCTCTTGATCCTTTCCCAGGCACTTTCTATAGATTTCCTGAAGAACTAGTTTCCCCTTTCTTGACATAAAGTGGAAACTCTGAGAATGCCATGATTTTCATGAAATAAGTAATTACTACTATTATTATCATTTATTATTTGGATAATTATCTATTCCAGGGTTCATTTGCACAGTCTTAGTTGCATTTTCTCACATGTGATCATAACTTGTTTAGTCAGCTTGGGCTGCCACAACAAAATACCACAGACTGGGTGAGTTAAACAAGAGAATTTTATTGTTCGGCTTTGCTGGGCCACATGGCTCGACGCCTGTGATCCCGGCACCTTGGGGGTGAGAGTTGGGCAGAGTCAGCTCGGAGGTCAGGAGTCGAAAACAGTCTGAGCAAGAGCGAGACCCTGTCTTTACTATGAAATAGAAGAAAATAATTGCAACTAATAGATATAGAAAAAATTGCCAGGCATGGTGGTGCGATGCCTGTAGTCCCAGCTACTCGGGAGGCTGAGGCACAGGATCACTTGAGCCCAGGAGTTTGAGTTGCTGTGATTAGGCTGATGCCACGGCACTCACTCTAGCCGTGGGCAACCAAAGCGAGAATCTGTCTCAAAAAAGAAAAGAAAAGAAAATTTTACTTTCTCACAGTTCTGGAGGCTGGAAGTCTGAGATCAGGATGCCAGCATAGTCAGGTCCGGTGATGCTGTAGACCCCAGATTCACCACTCCACTGTACCTGACAACACAAACGCCGTGACACTGGTGCTTGGTGGTAGAGACAAGTTTATCTGATTTGGCCACAGTGAAAAGACAGAAGAGCAAGAACTCTCAGATCCAACTCCCCAAAAGGATGAAGTAGGGGGGTTTTATGCAGGAAGGGGTAGTGAGGGAGGGGGTTCTAGGAGATGGAGGGTGCAGTCTGTGTTTCTTCAGTGCCGGATAACATCTTGAGCAACCAGACTTCTGAATATCAGCAGCTAACTTCTTCCTTCACTCCCTCTGCAAAACAGATTCATAAATTTTCCTTGTTTGCATTCAACAGAAGTGAAAAATAAATAAATTTTTCGGCGGGGCACGGTGGCTCACGCCTGTAATCCTACACTCTCTGGGAGGCCGAGGCGGGCGCGCAGTTGCTCCAAGGTCAGGGTTGAAACCAAGCCTGAGCAACGAGCGAGACCGTGCTTCCTACTAAAATAGAAAGAAATTGATTGACCAACTAAAATATGTAGACAAAAAAAAATTGCCGGGCAGTGGGGCGCAACTGCACTGTAGCGGCAGCTACTGGGAGGGCGAGGCAGAAGCGATCGCCTGAGCCACTAGGATCTTTGAGGTTGCTGGTGAGCTAGGCTGAGCCAGGGCACTCTAGCCAAGCGGCGCGAGAGAGTAGGCACGGAGACCGTGGTCTTCAAGCGAAAAAAAAAAATTAGGTGAGGGATGAAGCAGAGAAAGGTCAGATTTTTGCCAGATGTGCATGCCAATGAGCAAAAGAGACCATTTTTAGTGAAAGATGCCTAAATGTCTCCAAAAGGATAGGATTCACCCTGCTTTTAATTTTACCCCCATCTATTTACTTGTAGTTACAGCAGTTAGAAAACTTCGGAAAAACTAAAAGACCTGTGATCTTTCCAGATTAATAAAATTAGGAAGATGCTGTTAGCTAGCAAGTCAACAAATGCTTCCTGAATACCTTCCATGAGCAGCTCACTTTTCTAAGCTCTGGTTATAGAGTGTCAAATTCCTTCCCTAGACTGTACATTCTAGTGGGGAGATATATATATATATATATATGTAAACTTACAAACAAATAACATAAATGAGTACAAGAAAGGGTTGGCTACACATTTTTTTGCCAGGCTTGCACAGAAACAAGCCTGGGAGGAGAGCAGTGTGGGTTGACGTGGGATGGGAGGAAAAGAAGCGTTGTAGACCTTATAAGAGCATAAGGCTCTATAACGCAACATAGATCCGCACGCAACTTAAAAGAATGAGAACTAACCTCTTTCTCTTTCTCAGTGACTTACAGTAATTCTGTGTATAGCAAAAACAAGAAGCTGTCCAAGTTACAAGAATATCAACAGTTTTATTCAAGTCTGACCTGCGTCATCGGAGGAAAGGAGGTAGAAGGTACAGCTTTGCAATGAGCAGCAAGACTTCCTTTACTAGTCATCAAATTCTCAGTCGGATTTGTATTTTACTTATCTTTTTAGAAATGGGGTCTCACTCTGTTGCCCAGGCTGGGGCACAGTGGTGTGATCACAGCTCACCGCAACCTAGAACTCCTGGGCTCAAGCCACCTGGGCCTCCCGGGGAGCCTAGTGTGATATATGCTGTATCTTTGGCTCTGAAAGTTTCAAACTGCAGGCTGGGTCATGCTGCTGGTTTCTTAAACTATCCACTTGGATATCTTAAATAGATGTCTCATTACAGTTCAGTTTTATACGCTAAAATAAAAAAGAGAGAGAAAAATTAATAAAATAAAATTTAAAAAAATAGACGTCTCAAAGTTAAAGTATCAAACAAGGATCCTCAAAACTGTCTCTCTTCTTCCTGCCTCCTCATTGCTGAAGCCTAAAACTCAAGATTTGGTCTTAGCAGTTCCTCTTTACTCAACATCCTCACCCCCTATCCAGTTTATCACTAAGTTTAACAGTAAGTAAGATCCCTTTCTCTATGGAATTCTGAATTAACTGAGAAATAAATATACACAGGATTCACATAAGAATAACATCATCAGCTTTCTTGATGGTAAACCTAAATGGTCAAGTGTGGCTTAGAGTGAGGTCAAACTGTTGCTCCCTAGCCCAGGCCTAGCCCCCTCCTGGGGAAGTAAGTGGTCATGCGTGTCCAGGATCAGGGACTTCCGGGCACAGAGAGCCAAAAAGAGGCAAGCCACACCCAAGAAATGCCTCGATGGCCTTAATCCTCTGCGGGAAAGAAACAGGGACCCAAAGGATGTCAGACTGTTATTTCAAGAACAAAAAAACTGACTCTCCACTCAGGGAGAAACTGAGAGGTGAAGATGTCAAGAGCTTCTTCCTCAAAACTACCACAAGCGGGCAGAAGAAAAAGGCTGTGGCAAAAATGGCGTGTGGGGAAGGAAAGAATGGTTTATTCTTTCTTTTTTGTTCTTGTTTCATATTTGTTTTAACAATGGCTACAGTATAATCTGATTAGCAAAGTTTACCTTTACTATCAAACCAGTAAGTCAAACCAGATGTAGTGGGTCAGAAAAACTCTTAAGTTTTCTATTCACATAACCATATTAATGTATTTAAAAAAAAAAAAAGAACACTGACAAATTCTAAATGCACCTCCATGACATTGTTATAGAAGTCAAGTTTAAATTATGGAAGCTCTAATATAATGATTTTGTCCGTTTTTATAAAACTATAAAAATGTTCTGGCCAGGTGAGCTGGATCACACCTGTAATCCTAGCACTTTGGGAGGCCCAGGCAGGAAGACCACTTGAGGCCAGGAATTCAAGACCAGGCCAGGCATGGTGGCTCACGCCTTGTAATCCTAGCACTCTGGGAGGCCAAGGCGAGCAACTGCTCGAGGTCAGGAGTTCGAAATCAGCCTGAGTGAGACCCCTGTCTCTACTAAAAAAATCGAAAGAAACTAATTGACTAACTAAAAAAATATATACAAAAAATTAGCCGGGCATGGTGGCGAATGCCTGTAGTCCCAGCTACTCACTCAGGAGGCTGAGGCAAGAGGATCGCTTGAGCCTAGGAGATTGAGGTTGTTGTGAGCTAGGCTGATGCCAGGGCACTCACCCTAGCCTGGGCAACAAAGTGAGACTCTGTCACAAAAAAATAAATAAACATAAAAAAATAAAAATAAAAAGACCAGCCTAAGCAACATTGCGAGAGCTAGTCTCTACAAAAAATACAAAAATTAGCTGGGAGTGGTTTGGGCCTGTAGTCCCAGCTACTCAGGAGGCGGAGGCAGGAGGATCGCTTAAGCCCAGGAGTTTGAGGTTGCTGTGAGCTAGGCTGATGCCACGGCACTCTAGCCCAGGCAACAGAGCAAGACCCTGTCTCTAAAAAAAAAGAAAAACTCATGATCTAATTTGTAATAACATATGGCTAAAATCATGTGTCATATGAAACAAGAAATAAGATACAAGGCATTATATTACTTTGGAAAATGTGTTTACATTGATATAATTAACCCTGACTTGAAAATATAATTAACCTGGTTTAGGAAATAATTAAATGGAAACACATATAAAAAATCAGAAATAATTCCATAATTTTGGTAAACATGATCAAAACTTCCTTTTTAGTGAAAAAAAAGAGACATAAGGCCGGGCGCGGTGGCTCATGCCTGTAACCCTAGCTCTCTGGGAGGCCGAGCCGGGTGGATTGCTCAAGGTCAGGAGTTTGAAACCAGCCTGAGCAAGAGCGAGACCCCGTCTCTACTATAAATAGAAAGAAATTAATTGGCCAACTAATATATATAGAAAAAATTAGCCGGGCATGGTGGCGCATGCCTGTAGTTCCAGCTACTCGGGAGGCTGAGGCAGGAGGTTGCTGTGAGCCAGGCTGATGCCACAGCACTCACTCTAGCCTAGGCAACAAAGCGAGACTCTGTCTCAAAAAAAAAAAAAAAAAGAGAGAGATATTTCTAAAAACTAATTGTTCTAGCAGCTAGCATATGATTTTATTTTTTGTTATTGAAGGTTGAAAATAACATTAGAAAAGGTGAAATAAGAAAATTGGCTGTAATTGGCATATTTCATGATATGATTGATAACATAGGTTTTAATTAATTATGAATAAGGCACACCAAATTTAAAAGGAATTACATAATTTTGAATTTGTGAGTTTTATCCAGTGCAATTTGAAAATTTTGGTAATACCAGATATTTCTCAGCATATTTAAAATTTTCAATGTCACTAACCAGTACTGTGTTACTATTCAAAGGTAATTTTTTCTTTCCAACCACTGACATACCCTGGTGATGACTATTGAGAATAGCTGAAAAGAATTGCCTCCAAGTAAATCATGAAAAAAGCCATTTTTAGTGTGTGATATTTCTCCTCAAATCTCTCTGTGCCCTCATCAGAATCTCCCTCTAGACTTTACAGTCTGGATCAAAGTGTTCTTTGACAGTAAGTAGGGTAAGAAACAGGTGAGGTCACTGTATGAAAACCCTCATGCTAGACCACCCACACTCAACTATGTGGCTGAACTCACGACATCCCTATCAGAGCCCAAATGCTCCATTTATAATCCCTAAAAATAAATTCGTGCAGAAAAAAATGTTTAAGGCAACCCTGTGGAATGGAGATTTCTGGTGACTTGATTAATCATTAAAGGAGGCTTCTCCAAAAATATTTCAAATAGTCCTTTCCCACCATGGAGTTTTTTTTCCATCTTAGGGCATAGTGACTTTCAGGACAGATGCCTTTGTTTTGTGTAGTAGAGAAGAGCTAACACTGAAAGGAAAACAGAACTTATATGACAGTAGGGAAGAATACATATTTATTGCTGCTACATACCTTTTGGAAAGCCTCGGGTTACCATACCCAGTGTGAAGATTTCTAGCCAAAGGCTATATTTCAAGGTTATGGCTCCTTCAGAACCTGTGAAGTAAATTAATTTTACCTAATAAGTTATATCTTAAAAATATAATTTATTATATTTGTGACTCACATCTATAATCCCAGCAATTTGGGAGGCCAAGATGGGTAGATCGCTTGAGCCCAGGAGTTGGAGGTTGCAATGAGCTATGATTGTGCTACTACATTTCAGCCTGGGTGACACAGTGAGACTCTGTCTAAAAAATAAATCAACAAATATTCCTAATGGAGATATTTGCTGGGCAAAAGCTGCTTCTACTTCATACTTTTTCTTCAAATAAGAACTATGAATAATATAATTTGTCAAATTATTTGTTTGGGTATAATATATACCAATATATAAATATTTACTTTGTTATAATATATGCCAATATATAAATATTTACATACCAAAACATAAAGAAAAATAATTATTTTGACATGGACTACATAGTCATAATTTGTTAGAGGGAATATATATGATCTATGGTGCTGAGCTGACAGTGGCAAAAACAGGTGCTTCTAAAGGCGTGCCTTTGGCAGACGCCGTGGCTCACGCCTGTAATCCTAGCACTCTGAGAGGCTGAGGCAGAACGATGGCTCAGGATCAGGTTCGAAAACAGCGAGCAAGCAGAGACACTACCTACTTAATAAAATGGCTTGGCCGGGCGCGTTGCTCACCCGTAATTCCTAGCACTCTGGAGAGCCAGGCGGCGATTGCTGAGGTCAGGAGTGAAACCAGCCTGACAGAGCGAGACCCGTCTCCGTACTATAAAACGACAAGAATAATTGGCATACTAATTATAATGAAAAAATTAGCCGGCCAGGTGCACATGCCTGTAGCCAGCTACTCGGAGGCCTGAGGCCAGGAGATTGCGTGAGCCCAGGAGTTGAGGTTGCTGTGAGCTAGGCTGATCCATGCACTCACTCTAGCTGGACAACAAAGCAAGACTCTGTCTCAAAAAAAATATAAAATAAAATAAAAATAAAGGGGTGCCTTTAAGTCTTTTGCATCTAGTATGTCACTTCAGCCTCTCAAAATTCTGAGTGAGGCTGGGCACGGTGCTCAAGCCTGTAATCCTAGCACTCTGGAGCCGAGGCGGGCAGATTGCTCGAGGTCAGGAGTTCGAAACCAAGCCTGAGCAAGAGCAAAACCCCGTCTCTACATATAAAATCAGAAAGAAATTAATTGGCCAACTAATATATATTATAAATAATTAGCCGGCATGTGGTGCATGCCGTAGTCCCAGCTACTCGGGAGCTGAGCAGCAGGATTGCTTGAGCCCCAGGGTTTGAGGTCTGTGAGCAGCTGACGCCACGGCACTCACTCAAGCCCTGGGCAACAAGCGAGACTCTGTCTCAAAAAAAAAAAAAAGGCGCGGGCGTGGTGGCTCACGCCTGTAATCCTAGCACTTTGGGAGGCCGAGTGGGCGGATTGCTAAGCAGCCGAGTTCGAAACCAGCCTGAGCGAGACCCCGTCTCTACCAAAAAATAAGAAATAATTGACCAACTAAAAATATATTCAAAAAATAGCCGGCATGGTGGTGCATGCCTGTAGTCCCAGCTACTCGGAGGCTGAGGCAGTAGGATCGCTGAGCCCAGGAGATAAGGGTTGCTGTGAGCTAGCTGACGCCACGGCATCACTCTAGCCTGGGCAACAAAGTGAGACCTCCTGTCCAAAAAAAAAAAAAAAAAAAATTCTGAGTGAGAAACATCCCCATTTACAAACAAAAAAAATATTTAAGTCTCAGAGTTGTTATATAACTTTCTCAAATTTATAGTGCAAAAAACGAGGTTACAACCCAGGTCTGTCTTATTCTAGATTCATTCTTTGTGATGAGATGATTAACTTTGATAGATATTTACAATTATTAATGATAAATAGAAAATTATCAAGACTCTTTTTGCACAAGATGTAGAGATGGTTCACATATGACCAACATTGAATGGCAAGGACTTGGAGTTAAAGTATTTATCTGTAAAATATTCTTTCTGGGTTTCAAGCAGGGGCTAGACAAGTAAAGCCAGGACCCGAATCCAATTGGCTATCTGCTTTTATAAATAAAATCTTCTCACGCCTGTAATCCTAGCACTCTGGGAGGCCAAGGCCGGCAGATCGCTCAAGATCAGGAGTTCGAAACCAGCCTGACCAAGAGTGAGACCCCCGTCTCTAGTATAAATAGAAAGAAATTAATTAGCCAACTAATATATATAGAAAAAATTAGCCAGGCATGGTGGCGCATGCCTGTAGTTCCAGCTACTCGGGAGGCTGAGGCAGGAGGATCGCTTGAGCCCAGGAGTTTGAGGTTGCTCTGAGCTAGGGATGCCACAGCACTCACTCTAGCCTGGGCAACAAAGCGAGACTCTGTCTCAAAAATAAATAAATAAATAAAATCTTATTGGAACACAGCCATACGCATTTATTTACATGCTATCAATGGTCTCTTTCATGCTGCAATTGTAGAGTTGCAACAGAGACCACATGGCCCGCAAAGCCTAAAATATCTGCTATCTGGCCTTTAACTAAAAAAGTTTGTTAATCCCTGTTTAGAGTGAAATGATCTAGGGATTAGTAAACATACCAGCAAATAAATTCAGCTCTGGAAAATTTGTGGAAATGGTTGACGGAAACCAACCAAAACTTAATGAGCCATACAACTTTATATGAAGGGTATTCTCTGAATATTTTTTCTTCTCCTATGCTCATTCTGGAAGATTGGAGCTGCTGCCCAACACTCTGGAGTTCATTTCAGTCTAGCTGCTACTTTGTTTCTGCTGTGAAGCAGTCTTGGGCTGAGCATTGGAAGAACTGCTCCAGGATGGGGGCTGCCCTAGCGGTGATCAGCACTGAGGACGAACAGGTACTTCCTAATAAACAAGGAGGTCAGCTAGCCTATTTCCTCTCTTGACTGAGGAAAAGTGTCTTTTTCTATTGCTCCGAAAGTTGGAAGACAGAGAAAAGACTTCTGGTTTAAAAAAAAAAGAAAAAAGAAAAAGAAAATCTCCCTAATATGGAACATTTATTTTTCCTTGTTTGTTTTAGTTGAAACAGAGTGTCACTCTGTCACCCTGGGTAGAGTGCAGTGGTGCTATTGTAGCTCGCTGCAACCTCCAACTCCTGGACTCTAAGCAATCCTTCTGCCTCAGCCTCCTGGTTAGCTGAGACTACAGGACCACACTGCAACACCCAGGCGATTTTTTTTTTTCTTTTTGGTTGAGACAGGGTTTCATTCCTATTTCGCTTACTCAGGCGGGTCTCAAACTCCTGAGCTCAAGCAATCCTCCCTCCTCGGCCTCCCAGAGTGCTAGGATTACAGGGGTGAGCCACAGCCCCTGGCTTGAGTTCTAATTTCAGTTATTGAATTTTTTAAATCTAGAATTTCTCTTTGCCTCTCTTTCAAATATACTGTCAAATTTTATAATGTTCAATCCAATGTCCAAGTTTGTCTTTTATCTTCAAGAACATGAGAAGCACAGTCAATTTATAGCATGTCTCAAATGGTCCTCATGGGCATAATTATCTTTCATTGAGTGCTAAACATTTTATTTGAAAAATTATTTATAAAAATAATTGGAGGCTTAAGATAATGTTTTCTTCCAGAGAGTATTTTCATTTGCTCTTGCCATATGCCTTGGCACAAGTCCTACATGACATTAATACAATTTCAAGGCTTGAAATTTCTATAATGTCCAGACCAGGTGCGGTGGCTCACACCTGTAATCCTAGCACTCTGGGAGGCCGAGGCAGGATGATCGCTCAAGGCCAGGAGTTCAAAACTAGCCCGAGCAAGAGCATGTCCCCATCTCTACGATAAATAGAAAGAAATTAATTAGCCAACTAATATATATAGAAAAAATTAGCCGGGCATGGTGGTGCATGCCTGTAGTCCCAGCTACTCGGGAGGGAGGCTGAGGCAGCAGGATCGCTGGAGCCCAGGAGTTTGAGGTTGCCGTGAGCTAGACTGATACCACGAATTCACTCTAGCCTGGGCAACAAAGCGAGACTCTGTCTCAAAAAATAAAAAATAAAAAAAAAGAATACTGGCTATTGAGTTAGATCTCTATCATTTATTAGTTGTGTGACCTTTGGTAACTTTATCTTTCTAAGTTTCGTATGTAAAATGGGGACAGCAACAGTCTCTTCCTCATAATAGTAGTTGTAAGATTTAAATAAAATAACATAAAAACTCATGGCACAATACTTGGCATGTAGTATGACAATAAATAATTGCAACTACTACTATTATTATAATAAATTTCTTTTTTTTATTCTACTGCATCTACTGAGAAGAAACATCTTTGTTTTATTTATTTTTTTGAGGCATGGTCTCAGTCTGTCGCCCCAGCTAGAGTGCAGTGGCCTCATCACAGCTCACAGCAATCCCCAAACTCCTGGGCTCCAGCAATCCTCCTGCCTCATGAGTAGCTGGGACAACAGGCTTGAAAGCTCCCATGCCTGGCTAATTTTTTTTTTTTTTTTCAGTTTTTGTAGAGACGAGGTCTCACTGTGTTGCTCAGGCTAGTCTCAAACTCCTGGCCTCAAACAATCCTCTCACCTCAGCCTCCCAAAGTGCTGGGATTACAGGCGTGAGCCACTACGTCCAGCCAAACATCTTAATTTTAAAATGACTATAAGAATTAATGTTTGGACTGTGCCATGTGAAAATTTAAAGTAAACATAAACTTTAACATCCCAAAGCAAAAAAAATAGAAGTGCTTGTTGAACCCCTCTATTGCCTCTTCTAGATCAGCAACATTTTCCTAGAGCAAAAGTGGCTATGATTTCCAGCCTCATCTCTTGGGATTTCCATTCTCTTTGGCATCTTGGCCTGGTAATTTTTCACTATTCTCTGGGCTCTTGAGACATTGAGTTTTTTCATATTTCATCTAGTTTATATAGTTGATTTATTAAGAAGTTTGGTCCAAATTACTTAGTCCACCATTATTGGAAATAAAGTGGAAATCCCACTACATTGCATTTAGTAGAGATATTAGGATTGATATCTACCATTTATATGAAATGCAATTATTAAAAAATGCTTAGAAATAATTAACTGCCTCAAAGAGAAGGAATATTTTACAAACTTGGAAAAAAAATTCAAGTTGCAAGAATCCACTATCTCTTCTAGTTATGTATACCTGGAAAAGAGAAAAGAAAAAGAAAAAAGAAAAAAAAGAACCCACTATCAAGAACTGATAAGACCGGTGTGTGCGCTCATGCCTGTATCCTAGCTCTCTGCACGGCCGAGACGGGTAGATTGCTTCTAAGTGAGAGTTCGAAAACCACTCTGAGCAAGAGCGAGACCGTCTCTACTAAAAATAGAATAGAATTAATTAGGCTGACTAATAGATATAGAAAAACTGAGCCGCGGCATGGGCGCATGCTGTAGTCAGCACTCAGGAGGCTGAGGCAGGCAAGATGTTGAGCCCAGGAGTTGAGGTTGCTGTGAGCTAAGGCTGACACCCACGGCACTCATCTACCTGGCAAACAAAGCGAGACTCTGTCTCAAAAAAAAAAAGAAGCAGCGAGACCCTCCCGCTCCACTAAAATAGACGAAATTAATTGGCCAACTAAAAATATATAGAAAAAATTAGCCGGGCATGGTGGCACATGCCTGTAGTCCCAGCTACTCCGGAGGCTGAGGCAGGAGGATTGCTTGAGCCCAGGAGTTGGAGGTTGCTGTGAGCTAGGCTGCCGCCATGGCACTCACTCTAGCCTGGGCAACACGGTGAGACTCTGTCTCAAAAAAAAAAGAATTGATAAGTATATGAAAATACAGCTTCCCTGAAATTTCCCAAATAAAAATTGATCTGGTAAAAATGGATTATACAATTTTGGGGCTTCTGAGGGGACTATAATTATCATCTTTCCTGCAAAGGCTATGAATGAAAACATTAAAAAGCATAAAGCAGAAAGGACAAAAAGAGTTACCTTTATTGCTGACAAAGGTTAAACAGGAAAATGTCAATTCGTGTGACTTCAGAACCAGACTGCCTTACCCGCCAACAGGATTGTGACTGGCTCACACTAAGGACAGAAATATCCATGGGAAATCCAATGGGGCCTCTTGCTGTCTGTGAGCAAGCTTCCCCAAAGAAGAAAAGCATAGCTGTGCTATGAGCGCTCAGTTATGATTCCCAAACGTATCAAGCATACCCAGCCATTCTTACCAAATTTCCCGGTCTCAAGAGACACTTCTCCCCTGGGTATGAATAAAGGGCAGAGAGAAACCTTAAGATCTACTAATCTTAAGAAAACTTAAGATCTACTCCCTTCACAAGAAGAATATATTGGGAGTGAGGGAGAAAGTGCCCCACTACGTGCAGAGCTTTGAAGAATCCGATCATTTAGCAAAGAAGTAAGTGAGAATTTATTATGATCATGGATAGAACTCACTTCTGTACATGCTAAACATCCTGCTCACAAGTGCTGTCTCTGATCCTGCCCCCTCAGCCAGAGCAAACCTGGGTAGGGGCCCTCATGGCCATTCCTAGATTCTCTCCTTTTCTTCTCTTGCCCCTACAGCCACAAAGAGGTCAATTCAACTTAAGTTCTCTAAGTGCTAGGATTCTTTTCTTTTCTTCCCTCAGGATTTTATCACCCAGAATCTGAATGAAGAGTCTGCTTATTTTATGGGGCTGTCAGATCCCGAAGGCCAGAGAACATATTGCATATGGGTTGATCGAACACCATACAACGAAAGTGCCACGTGAGTAGAGAATTGAATAATGAAATCCTGGGTCATGCAGGGAGTTTAGGATGTTCCATCTATTAGGTTTAAGCAAAAAATACAGACAACTAAAATCAAAGCACTTTTTTTTGAAGCCGGTAAGTCTATTTGACATCAAAGGCTGCTACATTTAACACATTGACTGCCACACTAGAAAAAACAATTTTCTCCTTGGGGCCACGATGTTTTATTATGAAGAGATAGTATAAAAACTTCGAAAACAAAATGATCATTTTTGATTTAATGAAAAATTTGTTATTTTTTATTGTTTTCTGCACATCAGTTATATACAACTTGAAAAATAGTTCCTATGGCTCCCAAGATGAAGAGATGTGTGAGTTACATAGGATTCACAAGCCTCCAGGCTCAGAAAATAGCAGTGGAGTTTACAATACCAAATCTCAAGTGCAACGTTAATATGTTAAGTGTTCATAAATTAAAACAAAATCAAAATAGTATACATCAACTTACTAAGATTCAATATTTCTCATAAAGTGAAAATGTTAATTCTGATAGTCTTATAATTACTCTTTTCTTTTTAGGTAGGGGGTCTCGCTCTGTCACCCAGGCTAGAGTGCAGTGGCAAAATCATAGCTTACTGCAGTTTCAAATTTCTGGGCTCAAGTGATTCTCCCACCTCAGACTCCTGAGTAACTAAGACTACAAGTGTGCACCACCACGCCTGGCTAACTTTAAAATTTTTTTGTAGAGATAGGGATCTCACTATGTTGCCCAGGTTAGTATCAAACTCCTGGGTTCCAGTGACCCTCTGGTCTTGGCCTCTGAAAGTGCTGGGATTACAGGTATGAGCCACTGTGACTGGCCGAAACCAGCCTGAGCAAGAGTGAGCCCTATCTCTACTATAAATAGAAGAAATTAACTGCCAACTAATACATATAGAAAAATTAGCCGGATGGTGCATGCCTGTAGTCCAGCTACTCGGGAGGCTGAGGCAGAAAGATCACTTGAGCCCAGGAGTTTGAGGTCGCTATGAGCTAGGCTGACAACCACGGCCTAGTCTAGCCTGGGCAACAAAGCGAGACTCTGTCTCAAAAAATAAATAAATAAATGAAAGCTCTTCGTGTAACAAAAACATTTGTTCCCCCTTAATATTTTGAAATTTAAAAAAGAGAGAAGGGGCATTTGGGTATGTCTGACCTTGCTTCTCACAGTTTAACCCTAGCCCCTTCACAGTCTCCAACCCTTTCCAAAATGTCATTTGTTCGTTTCAAAACACTATCATCTGGGCGCTGTGAGGCTCCGCTCTGGCTGCAGGTGGG